AGCCAAATGTGCAGTTGAGCCGAGCCTGTTCGTGCTCGGCTAGATTCAACTGAGCTTGAGCGAGCCGAGCTTCTTCGAGTTTTTCCTATGTCGAGCTATTTTCGTATTTTTTGCAAACCGTGCTTGGGCGAGCGGATCAATTGAAAACCGCTGCTCGACTCACCTCAATTTTGAATTGTTCAAGTCATTTTACATCCTTGGGAAAATTTTTATTCACGCATTGCTACGACATTTTTTCGGCGTATCCGAATTTTTGTTGATTTTAATTTTTAATTAGAATTTCACGCTTCTAAGACCTGCATCTCAAAGATGTGGCGCTTTTAATTAGAATTTATGTTCATTCCACCCATAATCAAAATTTCAACGAAAAACAGCGGGGGCCAAAAAATGAATGTTACCGGAATAAATTTACACCCTTTATATTAGTCCTTAATCTTTGGACCAATTATTCCGATCATGCCCTAAGATCTTTGTTGATGACTTCTGGCAAATTTTTCTCAAGTAGAAACGGGTTTGATTTTTAAGTATTCTTTAAAATTTTGTTATCAAACCCGAGTTTTTTCGTACAATTTTACTGAATGCACAACAGGCTATCAAAGGAACGCAAGTGTGATGTTTTATCTGGCTACTGCCATTTGAAGGTCACCTTTAGCTTTACGCAAAAGCCACTTGGTACCACCAAATTTTAATCCAAATTTGCAGACCCTCGTACGTGTGTAATCCGATTTTTTTGTCATAATAAAACCACTGGGATGAATTAGATACACACGATTTACTGCAGATATAATAAATGTTTGAGGCTTTTATAGGTCAGGCATTGTATATGGTGTGCTATAGTTAGTGGTTTTTGACGCTTAAAGATGTGTAACTACGTTTCTATACCCGTGTGTTAAAACGGTGAGAATGAGTGAACGTAGAAATTTTAAACCCAAAAAGGTAATCTAAAAAATTTTTGGCTGCCCCCCCCCCCCCAAAGCCCAATCCTGGCAACGCCGCTGCTAAATGCGGATAAAAAAAATACGGACAAGAAAAACCTGGACAAGGGTGCAATATGGACAGCACTCTAATGCAGAAAATTTATACATTTTCGTGCTGCACATCTTCATATAATTTCTTGAAATCTGCTGCAACCCTACTCACGTTCATTTACTTGTTAAATTTTAATTTCTTGCAGATCTTACTGCGTCCTCTAAAATTGTTATGATGGAAACTAATACTTTTTTAATTTCGGATCTCCCCAAAAAACATTGTCAAAATTGTAGAATGCGGCAAGCGCATGAGATCAGCAATAGACTAAAATCTTAAAAATAGTTTATCGATTTTTATTTCAAGACTGCTATATTCTTGGAAAGTAACAAAGTAGTCTATGGGGAGATCCATAAATTATGTTACGCAAAAATAGCGATTTTCTTGACCCCCTCCCCCCTTTACCTTTGTCACACGAGGCTGCTGAAATAATCGGCAGCAGTGGGTATAGCTGTTGGTCCCTTTGGGTATGCCACGAATACAGACAGATACTGGTGGAACATTATCAACTACACGATAAGCGTGTTGTTGATGTAGGTGGGTATTACACTCATTACATAAATTTAATTTAACTCAGCTTTGTGCACTTAGGTAATTAAATAATTCATAAGTTCCAGTTTCTGGTTGAAATTACTTTAATTCCAAATAACTTTGAGTGACGACATCTTTCGGTGTCGGGTAGCGCAAGCGAATTGCGTCATGCGAGAAGCGTCATGGGGAGAAACATGACGCACCTCCCAATGCTAAGTTTGTGAACCTTGTTCTTGAGGAACTTTGTTATGAGCGGGACCTGATCCCAACCCATTTTGTGCTAAAAAATTGTTTTTGTGAGAGCACAATCTATGCATGTATGTCACGCGCGTCTGTTTTCGCAATTTCTGGGGGTGGTGCGTTAGGAGACTCTGGAAAGCTGAGGTTTATGTGTCTGTTTGATTTTTTAATATAATTGTTTGCATTGAACTCAACTCTATCAAAAACCATATTAATTGAATTGATAAATTACATTGATACATACATACCTGTGGGGGTCATGCATTTGGGGGGTCAATTTTCGGACCCATATTTCGAAATTTTAAAATGGAGTAAATTAAAATTTTGTTCTACTTGAATTATAGTTTTAAAATCGTTTAAAACATTTTTAATTTGCGCCGCAGTTTTGTATATATGGGCAATTAGCTACTGGGCCTATACAAAATTAAAACCCTCTGTAACCATTTATAACCATGGCGGTAGATTCATATACGTTTACTTTCTGGTTATAAGTAACCCAATTTCTGTAAGTGTACTTACAGCGGGTGGTTTTTTGGGGGGAGGAGCTGACCTGGATTAATGGTTTGTCCTCTAACACCATCACGATTTGCTATTTTTTCAATTAATGCCAAAGAGACTCCATTTTCGCGTGTCTTAAGTCGTTTCTAGCATAATTTCGGTGCAAAGGAGACCGCAAAACTTTTTCGCTAGAATCTCCACCTACAATGCACAGGGAGGAGTCATTTTTTAGAATGTCGACTAGCAAAAATTCAGAGATGTAATTAAGCGATTTATCTATTAGTTGGTGAAAACCTTGTTTTTTCATATATTTTTTTTCCACAAGCGTTCAAAAAATTCTCAAAACAAGGTGCGGATCCTGCATATACATGGGCCTAAGCTATTCATGGTGTGCGTGTTATAAATGTAATCAGTTAAAGTGAGACATCACAAAATATTGTAATATCTGCTATTTCATTTCACAAATCGATAAGACATGATCGGAAAATGCGATAAATATTTAATATTTAACCTTTATCAACTTTTATGTATTCCTATTTATATCATAAGATCTATATACGTGTATAAGAGTATTTTAGCTTTAAAACTGTTCTTAATACCTAGTCATGAATACCTTGCGACGATCACCATTTTGTATCGTATAGATTATCTGCATTTCTTTCGGTTATTTACTAACAAGATGTCCCTGAAATTGCATCTGCTCATCAAACTCTTAGCAATTCTCTTTACAACTGCAACAGCGAACTTCCACGAGATCAAAACACCTATCCATCGTTGTCTGCGCCTGGACGGTGCCTGCATCCTGAAGAGCTGGTGGGGTTTAGGATTAACGAATTCTTCACTTAATCCGACAGAAATAATCTGCGATGGTGTCAACCTTCCCCAACTGATAACTCGACGCCTTGAACACTTACCTATAGTCGATAATGAAGATATCCAAGGTAACGTTGCATTGGCTGCAATCACCAGATCAAGATATGTCAAGCAATGTGAGGTAACTCTTTTGGGGAGGATGTCTCCTGCAGAAATTAGAAGCACGATGCGACAGGTGGGAAATTTAATTCCAGGGAATTCATGGACAATCATACTTAACGATGGTCTCGGTAAGATTTCGTATTTTTTATGGACAGATTTATTTTAGAAAACGTGGAAGAAATTACGATTTCTATCAACCAGGCGGGTCCATCTATGACGCATGGTTGTTTTCCTTCTCGTCCCAGGTCGTTATTGGATCGATACCAGAATCAAAGATACCTAACGACTATCAAGTCTACTGGATGGTGTTTCACAATAATTGCGGCATAAAGAAATTTCAACCACTGCAAACAATTGTAGGTCATGAAATTCGGCTTCATGATTTCTACGTGTTACCCACATGCAGAAAAAACGGAACAATTTTATCACCTCTGTTCGATAGGAACTGTGAAACCATTTGTCGTTCAGACAGTAGGCTCGCCATGTCAAACTGCAAAACACAAGTTTGTATATTTACGTATTTTATGATCATGAACACCGTAAACAAAATGCTGATTGAGAAAAACGGTATCGAGAATCACCTGATGGTTCATATGGAATTTCAAGGAAAGGGAAATATGCTTCCAGATACAAAAATATTGTCCTTCGTTCAACCTAACTATGGAGCCATAGTTCTCCCAGCAGTAGTTACTCACACATTCTATTGTATTAGATTGATTCACTTCTTTCCCCCTGATTTCAACATCCTCCTCGAACCGTTCCAGCCACCGGTGTAGATTGTAATGGTACTAATTCTTTCGATCTTTACACCGTTACTGCTTTGGAAAAAACAATTCTGGAATTATCCTACAAAATTAATACTTCTATGGATTAACTTAATAGGAGGCCTGGGACTATGTCCGGATATAAAAATGTCGAGTCTAAAAATTATGGCTGGCACTATGCTACTCTTTGGCATTTTAGTAAATATTTATCTTAGCGTTGTTACCAGTAGTTTCATTTCCACTCCAATCCAACAAAAGTGTGACACTTTGGAAGATTTGATTATACGAGACGGGTACAAAGTATTCTCTCAAAATGAGGCCAATGGTTTTTTCTTATTCGCCATTTTCCTATTTCAGAAAAGGTGGGGGTTAAGAATAATTTTACTTTATCTGAAAAACATTTTGTTTATGGAAACGTAACATATTGGGAGGAAAAGATGTTCACAATTCTGTCCGATAAGAAGGTAATAGTTTTTTCAAAGGCAATCTTAAATGGGAGGCGCATCCAGAGAACATTTATAAGCTGGGGCAAGTTCAGGTGTTTCATTCTAGGATATGGAGAAGCTATTCACTGGGACTTGTTGCTCATTGCTAGGTATAAATTCGTGAACGTGGTGACTCAAGTAGCGAGATGGGTAGAAGAAGCGGGATTCTTTGTGCTTTGGCGTCAGAGAGTAAGTGGGCGGGGGATAGAGAAAGTTTTAAAGGTTGGTGGGATAACCTTCGGTCCACCTGGGTATCGGGCTATCCCATTGGCTTCTCATATTCAAGTTCTTTTTTACTTGCTCGTAATCGCCCAATGCGGCGTGATTGGAGTGTTTCTTTGGGAATTGGCGAGTCCTCTGGTTGCATGGGTGTTTATACGCAATAGGCGGTGTTGTAAAACTGATTGGAATTAAAGGACGCCAGTTATTGCATAGTTATGTAAATGCGTAGAAACACAGACATCAAGTACTTGATTAAACGTAGGGTTTGAGAGAGTGACTTTAGTGTATTTTATTTCGTTTAAATATGAAATCAATACATGTATCTGAAAATCAATACGTTGAACAACAATAAAAACACATTAATCATGATTTCCTTTGTAACTATTCCTCAATATTACAATTTAATGGCCGAAACAGCCATGCACAACGCTGGCCGTCCGTGCCAACAAGGTGTGGCTATCCAACTTCGTCCACTCCAAAGGTACGAGACGAGACAAAACGCTTCATCTCGTGACCCTGCTGGTACACTACTGTTCATAAAAACAGCAGGTTGACCAGGCCTCCAGTATTCGAAACCATTTTGTTCCCGTGTTGCAATCTTCACACCTGGAGCGCCATCCTTCGATATCCAAACCCAGGTATTGTTCCCCAAATCTCGTCCAGCCGTCCAAAAACCGGACCACACTATTTAGTTTACAATGTTTTGTATTATGTAATCCTTCATTTGTCAGTGGTTAAACATTAGTTTATAGGCCGTTTTCCTTACTGGAGTCCCATTTGTTGACAACTTCTTGGTCCCTCGTATTCTCCAAGGTTGCTTGTTCAAGTCCACGTGACGCGCAAACTTGTCTCGCCACACGCCAGCTAGAACTCACTCTTTGCCCGTAGAATGTTTTTGTAATTTCACCTGCAGTGGATTCACCAATGTAGATCAAATCATTTGCAATAGTAGTGGACTCCTTTGGTGGCAAAGTTGTTGTACTAGGGACCGATGTCGTCGTCCCGATTGATGTAATTGGCACCACACTTGATGAGCACAGTGGCCGAAAATAGGCTCGACAACTTGCCGAATTCCACTTTCCAATTCCACCACCTGTGTTGGTATCGAGTGAAACCGCAACACATCTCCTCTGGGGGCCAGTTCCGTGTCCTGGCATCCCTGACGCCCAGTTTTGGAAGAATAAACTAATTTCCGAACTCAATGGAATGGGAGTGAAGGAATCGTCACCCCAAGTCCAATTTGGACTTGGATACAAATTAAATCCACTCGTCCATACGATCCAACCTGGATGAAATTGAACAAATACATTGGTATATTAGAAAATAATTTCAGATTGTGAAAACACGTACCATTTCTGAAGTTGTCCTGCGCATAAAGATTTATCAAATTCTGTTGACGTTCATTTAGGATTGAAGCAAGCTGCAAACCTTTTGTCTCACAAAAAGCTTGGGCTTGGTCCCACATCAAAAAAATATCTGCGGTGAAGAAAATCGTGCCGGAATCTTCCCCCTTAATTTGAAGTAAAGGTTGGTTGTTTCCATAAGTCTGGTTCAGGTGTAAGATAACTAAAATCCAACCCGCTAGGATTATATTCCAAGTTTTAGTCGTGGGCTCCATGTTCATGATTGCAAGTCTGGGAAACTTCTGGTGTAAATTTGCAGGAAAGGTGAACTTAATTTCGATATGGAATTATTTAACTATGCATGAACAGGTGGCATTTTCATAGCTGGAGATTTCTATTTGTATGCAAAATTCAGTATTAACCGTGTATTTATATAATCCAGCAGAAATATTCCTACGCAAAAATTGCAACATCTGGCAGATACAGAGAGTTCATTGTGAAGCCATGAATATATTTTCTGTAAAGTGTATTGCCATCGATTTAAATTAAATAAGTGTGCAGGTTATATCTTGCTTTCTGTCCTGCAAAACTAAAGTCAGATACGAATTAGGATAACAATTCGATGAATAGTTCTTACAATTGATGCTGAAGTCGATAAGCTGCGATACATTTCGTTACCGAATATCTACTATCTAGTTTTAAACCGGATGAAGTAACGTCATGCGAGTTGAAAATAAATGCAAACAAGACTAGTTAGTTATTTCTTTACACATACAAATCCTACTGATTTGTACACGGAGTGGAAAACTACACAATACAATGTTCGCCTGCATTCAATTTTTGTCCAACTTTTGAAATAATTATCGGCAAGTCTTTTATTTAATTCACATTGAAAAACCACGCATAGCAACGTTTTCGTATGTCGAAAGAAAAATTTTTCAAATATGCTTGTTATACAATCATGAAAGCAATGTTATCTTTTTGAAAAACAAATACTCTACATACACGAAGCAAATATACAAATCATTCCAAAGAAACCAGACAAACTACAAGAAAATAACATGTAACAAAATAATTTTGTTTGCGAAATAAATATAAATCATAATCGCGATAGGAGCCACACCAAGAATTTCGTCGCCTTCGCTTTACCAACTTTCTTTCTAAGCTTCTTATTTTTTCTCAGCTTTCCACCTAATTCAGTGCAAAAATATGTGTATTTAATTCTAACATTTACCGATATTTAAAAAGTCAAGTATATAAATGAAATTACCAAATTTATTTCTTTCCAAAGATTTTTTCACCGGGTTCAATCTCGATATTTGCATTTCGTCATAGAAACATTGCATCATATCCAAGGGCACTGTTCAGTTTCAGTCTGCCCCTCCTCGTACAAAGAAAGGACTGGAATGGAAAGAATATTCGGATTTTTATTTTCCGTTTTAAGTATTATTGAACCGGCTTCCTCATAATTTATCAAGGGCTGCACACTAACTCCACCGAATGGCATTTCTAAAAAAGGAACTTCAGCCAGTTCAGTTTTTATGCCCATCTGCAAGATCAAGGTGAAGACTTTATAATTTTAAAAATGATAAACCGTTCACACCGAAATGTAGCAAAGGGGTGAAGCGTCATATCCATGGAAAGGTTATGTTTGACATCCCCGTCCCAAAATATGTCTAAACCGATCAATAAAAAAATTCGACAGTTTCGACTTTGGCATCGTCCACACGGTCATGGCACGTCAAAACTATATCGATTTTTGAAATCCCCGCTCAAAACTACGTCTATAAAGGGCAAAATAAAAAATTTTACCAATTTGACCGTCCCTGTTGCGCCATGACTTTATGACCTACAACGCCCATCTTCGAAATCATCCGCACTTCAAAAATTAGAAACCCGTTGGCGAAAACTGCATGTCGAAATTCTAATTCTTTCTAGAGTTATCGTGGATATAGACAGACGGACGGATGGATAAACAGACAAGACAAATCCATAAAGAGGTTTTCACCCCTTAATAATTAATAACGTAATTATGTATGCCACCTTTTCAAATTGATCAATCAACTTTTCCGCCCTTTCCAGTTCATACTTCCACGTTCCTCTGACACAGAGGTCTGTCAAGGTTTTCAAGGTGGCAGCACTCCCATCGAGATAGGATGGAATTAAGGCACGAATTTTCCCATAATCAACATTGTAATCCTGGGAAAGACTCTTCGCGCAGAAGTCAAACCGACGTTGGTCCGCGAGTCGTAAATGTTCCCTAATTTGGTTCATAATTGTAGTTTTAAAGCTGGAATCTACGAGATGCTCTTTCATTTCACATCTTCTAAGAATGTCCTAGAAAAAAACATATAACTTGTCAAATTTGAAGCGGTAATTATTTTGGAAATCTATTGAACTAGGTATACTCGCGACCTGCCGTTTGAAGTCGGGGTGAACATCGATACCAAAATGGGCATAATACACTTATCTACGAAGTAAAATGGAAGATTTCCTGTACAAAATTTAGTTTTCGTCAAGTAGCGGCGATATTTGTGCCAGTCGAATAAAAAATGGAAAGATAGGGAGTGTCTTAGACTAGAGTTCGTTGACCCTCATACACAGAAATTGTTGGCAGCCATTTAAGTAATTTATGATTGCATACACTTTGCTATAGATACGATCCATGGGATACCAACCTAGAATGGCAGATCGAAAGTATACCTAGTCAGGTATACTCAGGTATGCAAACAAACCTTCCACTCCTTTTGAGCATTTTCCTCCCTATTCATTGGATGAGGGGGGTCCCACCCGGTCCGAAACTGCTTGATATCCGCGGAAATATCTTTTTCTCGACTCTGAATTCGTTCCCACTCCTGCGGGTTAATCTCGTCCGAGTTAAGATTTGGCTGAGGTCGGCTCAAGTGAAGAGAAATCGCAGTTCGAGAGCTTTCGTAGCTACGACGCATGCCGAAAAGGAGCACAGTGGAGCCGACGAGTTTTGTCAGTTCGTTGAATCGGGACATTGTCCGTCTTGAGTGGGATTGACGCTCTGAAAAGGAAATAAATTTTGAAGTATTTTAACCAAATTAATAATGCGATGGTTTGAAGTGTAACCCTCCGATTTGGTTGAAATTTTGAAACTATGTTGTCCATATGAATATAACCAAAGTTTCTTCCGGCAGTTTGTGCGATGGTTAGAATTTGGCAAAAATTTTTGAGTTCAAAGTTGAAAAAACGGGCGATTTTTACCAGGCGGGGTAAGCAAACTTCACTCGCATTCCTTTCAAAGGGATGAATCGCCCGTTTTTCAACTTTGACCTCAAATATTTTGACAAATTCCCACGATCACACAAACTGCCTCAAGAAACGCAGGTTGTATTGACATGGACCACATATTTAATTTTACAATTTCAACCAAATCGGACGGCTTCTCTTCACACCATCGCATTGTAGGTAAATAAGCAAAATTATTTATCCTACTTGAAGCCAAGAATGCGTCCCAAGTATTGGTAAGAATTAGGAAATGGTCGTCTTCAACTTGGTCTCCACTTTTTAAAATTAGTGTGACATCCACGTCGGTAAAATTATATTTGATAATCCCGCCGCCATGAATGGTTACAGTGGGCTCAACCTTTTAAAAGTAATACATATAAATATTATTGATTGCACATCGTGGTTCAAAAATTGCTCCCCAAAATCGTGAAATATTTATTTCGTGGGCTAAAATTGAGATCAAAAGGTTCGAATTGTCAGATAAATTCAAAAAGACTAGCAAACATTAAAGCTGTAACAGAATTAATAGTAAAAAATCCAGAAGAAGTGTACAAAAAATTTTGGAACATGACGTATATAATTTCAGAAATTGTAAGTAATGTTTACCATTCCGCATTGTATTTGAATGTGCAGGTCGTTCAAGGAGTCGGATGAATCAATTGTCTTTGTCGCGTTTACGGAAAATTTCGCATATTCGTAGCACACATTTCGAACAGAAAGTAGGGTTGAAAGGATATTTGTATCCTAATAAAAAATAATTTTAATAATTAAGTTACAGGGTGACCAAGAAGTAAAGGTAATTATCGGTACATAGAAACTTATGCATGAGGAACAAGGGGCAAATTTGTCTCCAAAATGTATTAAAGTAGAAAGATAACTTCAAATTTTCCGTTAAATTAGGATAATTTTGCTAAAAATATTTCAAAATTATTGTTGGAACAATTATTTCAATTTTATTACAATGTTTCTCTCCTGGAAATTAATTTCATCCAATAAATTCAGTGGAAAATATATTTTTGTACTTCGAAATTTGATTTTTTTCTAAATACGTTTTCTATTACATATATTCAGCGGAAAAAGCTGTTCCGTTTTTACTAAATTTCTTGTTAATCTTGCACTCAAGTTGTTGTTAAATATTGTAAAGTTTATATATTCATTTAACTATTATAACGTTTATTTTACTCAAACCTGTAAAGTTGCCGGAATATATTTGCAATATGTAAATTCTTCCAAGTCGCAAAACGCTAAATTGATTCCGTTTCCAATTCCACAGTTTTTGAAGACGAATTTTATATCATCTATGGAAAAACTTGGCACCGACTTGACCCCCTTTTGTTCACTCAGCAGCAACCGTATTTCACCAATTCTTGTATCAATCTCCATTCCATGGCAGGTTTTGAAGGCACGCGTGATTGCTTCAGGCTTACGTGCAAATTCTAAATCACTCCCAAGCTGGACGTCAAACTCGTGACATTTCAATTCACCAATTTCCATAATCCAACAAGCATTTATTTATTAGCACGGATTGTGTAATATGTAAATAAACATGTACCGTAAATACTCTATTTACAGCCGGGTTTTGAGCCTAATCCTAAGTTTGAAAAATTTAATAGGCTTATTATCTTTAATTATTGCATTTGTTTAATGCCTATTCCTACATAAATGCTTCAAATTAGTTATAACCGGAAAAAAATTGACCCGGGTATCAAATTTTTTAATTGTAGCTGGATCTGTAATATCGTTAGATCCTGCTATAAATAGAGTATTTGCGGTACTTCGCAATTGTGATTTTTATGTGAAAAAATAAATTTCTTAGGTAGGAGGAGTAACATTTAAATATATAAGAACTATTAATTTTTGCGAGTTAACTGCAGTTAAAGAATTAAATATTATGTTCACCTCAACTGCTCTGCTGACTGACTGGTTTTAATGAGATAACATTGTCAAGGTTTTGCACATACGTACGCACAGAATGTTTAACTCTGTTGGTTTCAACGTTAAGATTAAACGTGATGAATGTACGTACGTACGTGCAGCTATAATTTATGGTACATAAATAAATATATGTATGTATAAGTCCTTATCTGCATATATTAGCATACATTGCGTCATCTGGCAGACATGGATTATGTATGCTTATCACAGCAATAACCAAATACTTTCATACAGTGTGATGTTTGTGTATGTACATAAATGTCACAAGATAAGGAAAACGTCAGAAATTTGGAGAATTCTTCATATCAACGATGTTATTTTCAGTCAAGTCCGTAATTTGGTTACGCATTTAATTGTATGTTATTTAATAATTTCCGCTCTGACCAAAAAATGGCAAAACTGATTTAAAATATTTAAAAAGACGGAGTATTTGCTCACAAATTTCCGTTCTTACAAATTTACTCCGAATATTAGATATTTAACGTGCACGTGAACACGAATTAAATATGTGGCATTTAGCACCAGGGATGGGCAATCCCAACACTTTCGATGGATTACGGATTACAGATTAATTAATTTCAAAATTATCATGGGATTACTGGATTGGGATTACTTCATTTCTAAAATAATGTGGATTACTTGTTGGATTACTGGGATAAATTGATGATGTGGATTACGGATTACAGTAATCAGATTACGGATTATTATCTGGATTACAAAAATCTATATTTATGTATTAAGAGGTGAAGCGAAGCGAAATCCCTTAATGGAAATGTTTTGTCCGCCGGTCTGTAATTAACCACGATAACTTTATAACGATTTCGAATTTCATCATGCGGTTTTCGCCAATGGGTTTCTAATTTTTTGAAGTACGGATGAGTTTGAAAATGGGAATTGTAGGTCATAAGGTCATGGCCCCAAGGTGATGATGCCACGAATCAAAGGTGTCGAATTTTTTGTTTTGGATATAGTTTCGGGCAGAGATATAGATATATATAGATATATATAGATATATAGATAGATAGATAGATAGATATAGATATATAGATATATAGATATATATAGATATAGATATATATATAGATATAGTTTCGGACAGGGATTACACAAATTTTCATAGTTTTTACGTGGCATTACCGCGTGACCGTGTCGACGACGCCAACGTCGAAAATGTCGAATTTATGTTTTAATAGTTTTATACGTAGTTCTGGGCGGGGATTTTAAAAATAAAATCTAGACATAGTTTTGGCATGCCATGACCGTGTGACCGTCTCGCTCCACCCCTTTGCTACATTTCATTTGGAACAGTTTATTCTGAATAGCGTCACACTTATATTTCATGATGATGATTAGTTTAAAAAACGAACTTTGAATGATTCATCCGACAGTTGGTTTCTTAGGACAGACCAAATTATCTTAGGGCAGAACTAACAAGACCTTGTGCAGGTGAAGATGCTGACAGAGATGTGTTGAAGTAAATCAACCCCTACTCATTGTTCCAAAATTCTCTAAACTTTGCACTTTGCTGAAGAATCCAGACGGTAGTTTTAGCACTCAAGTTCAGCAAGTGACTCAAACTCTGGAGAAGTTGCAAGATGGAGCTTTACAGGTGCAAAGTAATCCAACAAAGTAATCCGTAATCTGATTACATTTTCCAATCTCGAAAATTGGGGATTACGGATTACACATCATTTCCGGGTCTCATTTAATAGGCCAGACCTAGTTAGGATTACGGACTCCGGATTACTTTAAAATGTGAATTTTTCGTGGATTACTGGATTACGGATTACATTCAATGTAATCTGATTACTTAATCTGATTAAAGTAATCCTGGGATTGCCCATCCCTGTTTAGCACATTGAACAGTAACCATTATCTAAAATGTTGAACACTTTCACGACCAAATTATTCTTTCCATCTCACCTTGCCAATATTTAACATCAAGAATGCTTAGAATGAAGTCGCTTAATTTAAGGAAGTAATGTTTCATGGAAAAATTAAAGAAGCATTGTGCATCAAAAAATCCACAAGTTCAATTAACCAAATAATGGAATGAAAATAAATTCCATATGGACATCAACAATTCTACCATTTATAGAAAATCCATAAATTTCCAAGAGAATTAATGCAATACTTTTAGTCAATAATTATGAAAGTGACCAAGTTGAGTATTGATTGAAGTTTTTATTAATGGTGTCGAACTTGTAAAATAATTATATATATCATTTAACCCAGACAAAGACAATATTTATTTGTATCAAGTTTTTTAAATCGTCCTCCTAGACGTTCTTAAAACGTTTTTATCATTTAAATTTATAATAAGCTTTTTTCGACCTAGATAATTTAAAATGTTCTTAAATTAACACCAAGCTTACAAACAATTTGAATACATTTTACATTTTTCATGATTATAATCTTCTTGAGGAAGTGATGCTGAATAGAATGAAATAACGTGACAAGTTGTTACTTAGGATTAATGGAAAGCATCAGTTATTCCATACAGTAGCCAAATGGTTCTGTTTTGAAAATTTTGTGCACCCCATATTTATTTAAGTATTTGTTTTTTAATTAATTTTTTGACATTTAGGAAATAAAATGAGTGTATTCTTTTAGATGTTATTGGATTTTTGTTAAACAATATATAAAATTATCCTTGAAATTATGCATTTTGACGCACTGACACGTCTTTTTATTATGTATGCATACATTACACATGTGTTACACATGTTATTGCTGATATTAAATTACTTAAATATCTCACATTTCCGATTTATACGAGACGCTAAATTTTCCCTGGAGCCCAGTACTTTAATACCTTTTAGAAATGTATGCTCCCCCGACGGCCGTAAGCATGAGGAGAAAGATGGCCACTAAACCGATCAAAATTAATGCCCAAATCGGTAGTAGCGGGTTATTTACCGGATTAAGTCCACCTTTCCCACATTCTTTTTCTTCTTCCTGGGGCGGAACCTGGTAACATAACTGAATGGACTTTGGATAAAATGGAGGCGACAAAGGAATCTGGAAGGAATGGTTTCTTGAGCCTTGAACGACATAGAAGCCGTAATCCGCCACACAGTTGGTCATCCCGTAGAGGAGAACACAATGTCCGTTGGTCTGAATGAATGGATTCTCTGGGTTGTAGTCGTCCAATGTGATGCAGCCGTAGGTGAGATTAAACGTGTCTGAATGACCTGAATAAGGGTAAACATATCTATATCTTGTACTGATTGTTAGTCATTCACCGATAAACTAAGACTCAAGAAAACAGCCTATTTATTACACAACAAGCATAATTGTGAGCCCGGCTGGTCACAATTCCTCGACCTGACTCTTCCGAATTCGCCGCAATAACAAATCAAATATAAATTAGCCTCGATTCAATAACCCACAGTTATTACTCCGTATTGGGGAGTCTCAGAAAAATTAAAGAGGTGAGCCAAATGCTCAGTAGGACCGAACATACTTGTGCTCGGTTCAACTGAGCGAGTCGAGCTTTTTCTGAACCGAGTTTGAGGGAGCCGAGCTTTTTCGAGCTTTCCCTGATTCGAGCTTTAGCGAACCGAGCTTTTAAAAACCGCTGCTAGACACACCTCTACTCCTTACTTTAAGAATATAAGTAGTTTCCATATATTGTTATCATATTTCCCAACCTCGGTTGCAATAAACTAACTTTTGAAAAATTTGATCTTGGTTTCTTAACCGAATTTTAATGTGCAGCACAGTTATGTACTACACTCAAAACAAAACGGTGTCAATATATGACTTAACCGCCTTGGTTACAATTGTGATTCCGAGTAGTAATGGACTTTTTCCGTCCGGTGATAACATTATAACAACAGGTATCAAAATAATCATAACTCGGATTCAAAATTTTAACCAAGGCGGTTAAGTCATATATTGACACCGGCGGTGTTGATTTGACAAATTTTTGTTTTGAGTGTATGTATATATAAGATATTGTACACTTACTACAATTCCCGTGACGGTCATACAGCGTTACTATGTTACTCCCTAAAGGATATGTCTCCATGTTGGGTCCTTTTATCTCCAGATCAGGTCCTTCAGTCGCCATGAGAGGTCCTTCTGTCTCCATGACAACGTCCACTTCGGGAAGGGGCAGAGATTTATTGCAGAATTCCCCACAACGCGATATTGCCCTTGGATGCCATTCTACTCCTTGGATGTTATACCTTGTCAATCCCCACGAAAATAAATTCTCCAGGTTTGGGTAACCTGGGCGAAACTGGATGGATTTCCCGCCACAATTTGGCAAAGAATGCAGATCGATGCAGGCATTTTCATCGCCATTTATTTTCATCGAGTACACATTTTGGATCGATGGCGGGATCAAAATACAGCCATCGTGGTCGACATGGAAAGGTGTGGGGTTGCCTGGAAACGATGGGCAATATTTTGGTTTAAAAATAATCTCACAATGGAACCTTTTCTCAAGCTACCCAGGGATTGAGTAGCGAGTTATTTCAAAAAATCAAGCCAAAAATTACAAGTCAGGTGACACTAATCCTTCCGTTGAATGGCCCCCTTGAACAAATATATTGGGGGTCAAAGTTCGCACTCCTCCTTGGTTTTCGCCCCGTGGAGGAAAAAGCAAGAGAAAATTTGCTCAAAAATTTAATTTAACCGCAAATATTTTTGTTCAAAGGAACCATTCAACGGAAAGATTAGTGTCATCTGACTCGTAATTTTTGGCTTGATTTTTTGACATAACTCGCTAGACAATCCCAGTGTAGCTTGAAAAAACGTTCCATTGTCAGTGATACATAAACATGTAGTTACTTAATTTAAATTTAAGTTCTGTCATGGACGAGCAATGATTAAAATACTTATATTAGACGTAGTTATCTACATACATAGGGTATAAAAAATTCTAAATTTACAACCGATCAATACTAAGGTTTGACCCAGAGGTCAACGCCAACGATTTTTGGGGCGGCAGTGGCAGGGAAGATTTTGGCGATTTTTCGGCGGCGTCGGCCGCGCGGCGCGGCGTATCATTTTTGAGGGAATAAGAAATGGGATTTATCGGCGAGCGGCGGCGCGGAAAATGTTACCGGCCTTTGGCGTAAACTCGGCGCCGTTGACCTCCATTTTTTTTAAAGTTTGACCATGACGTAGTCCAGGATAAAATGTGGCCAAATGGGGAAAATGGAGAAAAATCCAGCGATATTAACTACATCACATTCCTATAACTGACACCATGCATAAAAAAACGAGGCTATAATATCGTTATGTCCGTCTGTCTGCCTGTCGGTCCGTCCGTCTGTCTATCCATCTATTGGTCCAATAACTTTTGAACGGAAAGACAGAGGCTTGAAATTTTGAACGTAAGATCCTAACGTCAGGTTAAAGGAAAACGCACTACTTTCACCCCTTCGTAACATTTGTTGTAATGCTTTATTTCACAAAATTATCAAATTACCCCTGAATTCTGTTTTGTCATAGAGCGTGACATGGACCGCTTCTATCCTGTCACCCTGCCAATTTCGGGCGTCACATTTATCGAAGCAGGGTCCAGCGGAGCCAATTTGTAAGTTTTCCTTGATCATTTCTTCCCCAATCCAACGATACGTGTTTAGCCAATAGTGCGGGAAACCAAGCAAAGTGAGCCGAATGAACCATCCGGTGCAATCAGAGGCCGGATAAATATTCACGCAATCCAGTCCTTTCATCCAGAGCGAGATGATTCCTGGGTGAAAGTTGGAATTACACGTGGAAACGTCGTACGTAGCGTACTCATCTACGTCAACAGAGCTATCCATGATTAGGAGATTTTTTGAATCCTCCGCTCCCTGGGAGAATGGAAGGCTCGGAATTATTACAAAAAATATTGAAAATATTGCAGTAGTCACTATTTTGCAAAGGAAAAACTGCATTGTGAAAAAATGGATGTTTTTTAAATTGTTTCTTTTTTTGCTGGGAATTTCTGATCGCAGAAATCTGAGACGGTGTGGGTTATGAGTGTTGTAAATGAATAACTATTTAAGTATGACTGCATAATTTTAAGTAGATGTGTTATTTAATTGTGTCAGTAAAGTGGAGGAAGTGGGGCACGGTGTAATGAATATATAATGTAATGAAATGTAATTAATATGTAATGAAAGAAGTGGATAATTCGAATAAAGCCTTGGACATATGAATGGCTGAACTTTAGCCTTTCTCGACTCAGATGAAAGACAAAGAGTGTGTAAATATGCTTGATGAAATACATAAGAGTCGTGCAAAATATTATGTATGAACTTATTGTATCACTTTCTTTCATAATGTTGATTGCTTGATTTATTGAAACCTTTATTAAGCATTGCCCCAATTTCGTTGGTTTGTAGATTAAGTAAAATAATGGTATTCTTGTTAATTGAATATGTATGGTTTATTTATATTATAATTTAATTTGAGTCAAAATTTGTTCAATTTGCATATATATGCACAAGGTATGTAGATAGATACGTATTTATGCATCCTCAATATGAAAAGAGTTGTATTAAACATGCAAATAAACCGTCGCAAACGCGCATACGGAAGTAGCTTCAGACGTACTTCACCCCAAACGGTCCCACCACAACTCGGGAACACTTAATTTCACTCTATTTCATCTATAGATTAATTTTTTATAAAAATCTCATTTTGCCCCAACCACACCCCTGGCGCCGAGGGGGTGTGGCACAACTCCGGAACACATAATTTTACTCTATTTCACCTATAGATTAAATTGCACTAAAAATCTCATTTTGCCCCGACCACACCCCCTGTCGCCGAAGGGGTGCGGCAAAATCGGGGAAACACTCAATTTCACTTAATTTCACTTAATTTCATTTAATTTCACTCAATTTCACTTAATTTTACCCATAGATTAAATTGCACTAAAAATCTCATTTTGCCCCAACCACACCCCCTGGCGCCGAGGGGGTGTGGCACAACTCCGAAACACATAATTTTACTCTATTTCACCTATAGATTAAATTGCACTAAAAATCTCATTTTGCCCCGACCACACCCCCTGTCGCCAAAGGGGGTGTGGTCCGGTTGCCCCCAAAAGTTGATAGGATCCTCCCCCTGGGGTATTATGTATGATGGCGAAAACCGATTTCGATTATCTTTATCCGTTCTCCCGTTATCCTGCTGACAGACAGACGGACAGACAGACAGACAGACAGACAGACAGACAGACAGACAGACAAAGTCTTCACATAAAGTAGCTGAAGCTACTTAATAAATACAGTACGTACATATATGGACCAAATTTGAGTTCTCTCTTGGCTTCCTTCCGTGCATCACGTATCTCTCTCTCGCTCTGCATCTGGATTCTCTCTCTTCCATCTGGGTCGCGGGTGTGCCAGGGCAAGTGAAGTGTGTCCTAAGGCCTCTACGCCACGTGAGCGTCGTCCACTCACACCCCCACCTGCATGCCTAGTAACACCCCCTGCCGGACCCGTCCCAGCAACGACAAGCTGAGCCATCAGGCGAAGATGGATCTCATCGGACTCTGTGCACGGGAGGATCAACCCCATGGAGGACTCCCCCAGGTGAGACCTTTGTTTGATAAATTGGGGTGGTGAACATGTGGGAGTGGTCGGGGAAAAGTGAGTGTGCGCGGTGTTGGTGGGGGCGGCTGGGCTAGGTCTACGGGGTTCCCATGACTTTGTCATGTGCTGCGATGGGAGGGGTTAGTTTGTGGGGTGCATCATGGCCCCTTTATGGGGTCATTTAGGCCGAACCCTTAAATGGGTCATTGGTTAGTTTGTGGCCCATGGATGCTCCACTCCAGCCTAATACCCGTCGTGTCCCTGCCGGCAGGGCGCCTACTCATTTGGACGCCACCATTTTTCCGATATGTAAATTGCCTATAATCTCTGTCATTCACTGGCCGAACCTGGGTTTACAGGTAGTCAGGGCCGAATGGTGAACTGGGTAACCTTCCCAGTTCAGGCAGAGGTTTTCCAAACTGACCACCATAGTCTGGTTTTCCCTCTAATCCCCTGACTACTATCACAATTATTCTAAACTAAAATTTGACTAAAATGTACCTATACTTGAAATGATGATTGTTATATATGCAATAAAGATTATTATATTATATGGACCAATTTTGCTGTAATTATAACTATGTTGGATGGAGGCTTGGGGCGCCTTATTTTTTGCCTTGGAAAGATTTTTGGCCAGGGCGGGCCTGTTTCCTGCTCAATGATATTTTAATTTTTTTTTAAATCCAGTTAATATTTTACAGAGTCAAGTGGTGAGTTGACATAGCCAGGGAGATGGGGGGGGGTTCAAATAAATGTGGTGACATAGTCCCCACGCTCCAGCGTCCACTGGAGGTCACAAGTGTTTACTGTCAGTATATCCAAGCCAAGAAGGTTGCATTCCTGCAAAAGAAATGAAATATACAAAAAAGGCTTATTATTATCCAGCCGAGTCGAGCCAAACAAAATCTCGCTTAGCTCGACTCGTGAACACCTATATTTATTCGTAGTCCTAACGGAAATGCATTAAAGGAGGTGATGGCCTTGCGTCATCCTCTTTTTACCTGAATCTTAGGCAAGTTTTTTTTTAATTTAGAGTGTAGACATGTTCCGAACGTTTGAGTTTTACTGAACTTAAATCAATTAATAACGTCACAATTCATTCATATTATGTCCAATTGAGAAAAAGTGTTATTTAAATCCTGACAACAAGCATGTATTTATATGTCTTTATTACTATGTCTTTCCCAATTCATTGGATACATCGTGCAAGTACAACAACAATGATCTACATTTGGTCAATATACCATATATTTAACTATTCTAATTAAAAAAACAAGTAAGGATAAATCAGCAGGTGATAATAATCATAAAACAAAATACAATTCCAAGGCAAAAGGTCCAAAATGTATACAGATAAGATATGCTCGTATGCTTATCCCACTTCATATTGCTTAAAGTTATTTATACATAAATCGTAATTTTGATTAAAACAATTGATTGTGCAAATTATGAGATTTTTACCTCACAAAAATTATTGAAGACGATAATACACGATACACGATAATAAAAAAGGGTGCGCAATTTCGGTTAGCCAGCCTTGTATAAGAGGTGAGTTGGTGGACTGACGATCTTCAGTAAATAGGCACTGTTTTTATCATTTTATAGCGGCCGGGTTCTTTCTAATATTTAAGTTTTCATACCTGATATTTTTCATGTAGAAATGTACGAGAGGGTTTCTCAGGGAGAGGTAGTTAATCTTAATAAAACAATGGGCTCAGAGGAAACATCCCGTCTATTGGTCCTGCTTACTTAATTGTACGTTGGCTATGTCAATACCTTACGAGAGTGTCACTTGGGCCCACCTGGTATGGTTTGAGGCTGACAACTTTTGCTCTCACGTTCCTGTTCTTACGAAAATGGGATAATCAGCCATCATCGGAACTGAAAAATTCAATATTTCAACTTCTAACTTGGCCAATATTTTTTCTACCTTTGCACATTTATCTCTTGAAAACGAGTTATAATTTTAAGTTATCCGTTTAAAACTTAAGCGACATGTTGCAGGTCCTACTTTCACAAAGTCTCCAGTATAATCTTTAGTACATGGGTTATGTAATAACGATTCTCACGTGACGTCAAGAGTGGACATTCCTTCACAAACTCTCCACTCAGTCGTGTCAGCCAATATGTGCTCGTTTAAGATTATTCTCTCTATCTGCATGGGTTTTGTACATTTGTAAAGATGTCACAAATTGGCAAATATTTGAGAAACACTTCTTCGTTATGTCACCTTGGACCTGGAGCTAATTCAGGGGAAACGTACCTTGCCAAAAGGTGCTAAAGTTCAACAGTAGTTGCAATGAAGAGTACCAAGGCAGCGGATCTGCTGCTGTTGCTGCATCTAATGATGAGAGTGACCATCGCGAGGAGTCCGCATCATTATGACGAGTGGACGGAATCAGGGTGGCGCGCGATTTTCAAATTGCTTAGGAGCGTGAACTCCTGTGATATGGATCTCATACTTGTGGCACCTACAGGTGTAAATTTTTGCATAAATGTTTCTTGCCAACAATTTATTTAATCTCCTTTTTTGCGCACCGTCCTTCCCAGACCTTGGCCCAGAAGGTTGTCCATCGTACTTGAGAACGTTCGGCTTTGCCTTCGTCCCCACAAACACCTTAGTTGGTTTAAATTTCTCACTCGTTGAGCCCCTCTGGCGTCCCGGATGCATCGCCGTCTTCCCTCAGCACAACCAGGACAGCTTTCACCACATCGTAAACAAGGCAAGTAGATAGTTGATATAATATTTTGTATATTTTGTATATTTTGTTGTGTGGGGCTTCAAAATAAATATTTACATAAGTGTTTGACTAACCACTGGTTAAGGTGTACGGTGAGGCTATAAAATCTGGACTGCGAGCAGCCAGAAGCAAACGAGAATCAGCAGCGGCATCTGCGATTAAAACACATTTCATCATGGTTTTCATCTATCCTGAAATGTTAGCGTGGCAGGATCCCGTGGCGGAGCGGGACAGGCTGAAAACGTTCCTGGGCCAAACCACACTATCCAACTTTCTCGTCAACTCTGACATGTACACGATTTTTGTGAGTGGTGGCGGGAGCGGTGAAGTGGTAAAGGCCTCCTTGTGGGAATCCTACTCAGTGAAGACATTCCACTTTCTCAGCAGGATGACACTACCCATTTTCTTGGAAGAATGGCGGGATGATCAAACTTATAGCGATGGCAATGATGACGAGTTTAAATTCGTCCACCATTACGACGTTCTAGGAGGGAAGGTAGGACGATGCAGTGACTTCATGGGGATCACGATGGTGGCTTCAACTAAGGTGTTCGAGTTTATCCAAATTTCTGAGTTAAATTAGGGGATGAAATTGTGAAAGTGTCGTATAATTTATAAGCAAGACCGGTACAGCAAATGGGTGAAAGTGGACCGAGTAAACGGGAAGCTTTCACTGGTCGGGGGTAGTGCA